AGTCTCGGGCGAAGCGCCCGGCCCCCACTCCCGACTGGCCTCGGGGTGCGACAGCGAGAGAAATTCATAAGAGACTGGACAGAAGAGGGACGAGGAGGAGCGACCGTAGTACTCAGAGGTGTTCTGAACGGGTCTCGGCCCGGAACGCGTGGTCGGCAGTGGCAGAGCTCTCGATGCCAGTGGTGTAGAACCCCGCGGCGCAAGGCGCGGCGGGGGAGGAATGCGGAGGAGGAGAGAGAGTCAGCGAGCCAAAAGAGGATGAGGATGAGGATGAGGCTGAGGATGATGAGGATGACGAGGATGAGGATGAGGAAAGGATGACGAGGATGATGATGATGATGATGATGACGATGAGGAGGAGGATAATGCGGGGGAGGAGGGGGAGAAGAGTGAGGAGGGGGATGAGGAGGAGGAAGTAAAAGGACAAGTGAGGAGTGAGGAGGAGGAGGAGGAGGAGGAGGAGGAGGAGGAGGCGGGAGAAAGGGAGGGAGCATGAGGAGGGAGGGAAGGAGGAGGAGAACTGAGGAGTGAGAAGGAATGAGCGAGGGTCGAGGAGTGATGGATGAAGAGAACTATGAGGAAGAGGAAGAGAAGGACGAGGGAGGAGGGAAGAGAAGGGAGAAGGAGGAGGAGCCTCCCTTACTCTTAATGTATAGGGCTTCACAGCCACAGACCTTGCACCTCTTCCGCCAGCCACGCCCAAAGGGGTACAACTGCCCGTCGGGGTAAGGCGGTACTTCCCTTCTCCGTCAACCTCACCAAGTCCATGCCTAGGGCCAAATCCTGAGGGATAATGCCCCCCGCCCCATGTTGTGATGAATTTTGGAATCCATCGGCACTCCCTCCCTCCCCCCCTTCTCCTCCTTTCCCCCCCCCCTCCCTTCTCCTCCTTCCTGATGAAAATCTACACCAGCCAGGCCATCGGCAGCATTGACAGCTGTGGTTCTGGCCCCTGGCTTCCCCATCTGCGAATTTGCAAGTGAGATGTGTGTTTCCGAGTTGCGACGCGCCACTGACTGCCAGAGTGAAGAACAGAACGTCACCCTCCGTCGGAGCTTGACCCAATTTGAGCGAGGACTGCTGTGGCCAAGGCTCCGTAGCACGCCGACTCAATGATCACAGCACGGTTTTGGGCCCCAAAGGCTACGGAAAACAAGGCACGAACACGAACGCATGTGCCCTGCAAATCACTGTTCTTCACTGGTCAGGGTGGACATTGCTACAACCATCATCCCCCCTCCCGAACGTCGAGATGGGCACGACCACTGGATTTTTGAAGTGGGCCTAGGGGCAGATTCTCAAGCCATCCCTTCAACCAGCATTGTAGGCACCTCTGGTCTCGCACAGAGATCTATACATCGACTCTGGCGTCCAACCCCTCGCACGCAACAGCTCGCACCATCATGGGGAAATGCATGCAGGCGGCTGCCTGGCCCAAAGACTGTGTCAGAGGCGTGCGCTGCAGCCTCGAAACTGAGCGTGGCCTGCAAGTGCTCCCAACAGCCCCAGACGTCCACCAAAACCACTCCAAAGCCCTTATTAATCGTCCCCTTGCCAGGTTTTTTAAGGCGCCTTTTTTGAAAGTGGGGGGTCCAATTTATTAGGGCGCTCTCTGTGGATTGGAGCTTAGGGAGTCCGGTTATTCAGGCGCCCCGTCGAAGAGGGGGGTCCGGAATATTAGGCCGCATTTGGAGGGGGGTCCGGTTTTTAGGGGTGTCGATAAATAAAAGATTTGGAGTAGTGCCTGCGGCAGTGATTGGGGAGGGCGAGTGCGCAACCACAGAAGCATCGCCTGCGCTGCACGATGCAAACGATGCTGGCGGGAGCGGTCGCCCTCCCATCGTGCTGCGGCATCGTTGATGCATCTCGGGTTGGCTCTGGTCCTCATCCTCCACCTGCTCTCCTGGCCTCGCCTTGCCCCTCCTCTCCCGTCCTCTCTACAAGTACTCAACATGAGTACTGCTCTCCTCTCGCCCCTGAAGTTGTCTGGGGCGTGGTCCCGCCCCCACCGCATATAGTACTAAACTCACGCACGATGGATTTCAGGCGTTGACTGCTCCCGTCGTTCTGAATGGCGCTCTCGTCCCAGCAGGGGCCTCTCTTCTGGATCCCACAGGCCTCGCAGGCCCCACGAGTGCATGGTTCTCGCAGGCCCCAGAGGTCCCTCGGGGCCCAGCAGTGTCGCAGGTCGTCCCACGAGCCCCACGGGTCCGACAGGTGCCGCGGGTCCGGCGGGCCCCACAGGCGTCGCAGCTCTTGCAAGTCCCACAGGCCGCAGATCCCACAGGACCTACACGTCGGTCGGAAGAAGTAGGTAGAGACATGAAGTAGGAAGGCGGGTACAGTAGATTGGGTCCAGGTCCTCCCAGAAAATAACAAAACACAGCAAAAGCATGCCGATGTTTGAAGTAGGAAGGCGCTTGAAGTAGATTGGGATCTGGGCATCCAAAAATACATACTTTCAACGACCGTCGTGTACGGGTGTCGCAGGTCTCACAAG